AAAATATTAAAAATTAGTTTCAGCTAAGAAATCTTGTAAAAATCTTATAACTACATATAAAATGTTAATATATACATTTTTATATAGTTATCAATTAAATAATCTTAAAATATATTACAAAAATATAAAAAATCAAATATTCTTTCTCTCACGGCCTATCCAAAGAGTACCACAAATCCCATAATCATTAACAAATTATATCAAGAACGGATATTAGAATACACTGGCCATAACAAGATTTTTACCGATGCGTCAAGAACTGAAAACGGACACGCAGCGGCCTTTATTCTAGGAAAGTCTGAATATGCAGTTCGCATCCCTCAATTCTGCAGCATTTTCACGGGAGAAGCAATCGCCATTTTAAAGGCTTTAGACATGTGTAAGAGTCATGCAAGCTCAGATTTTCTTATCATTACTGACTCTTTATCTGTTCTTCAGATCTTAAGGCAAATATATCCAGTACATGCTATCCTGCAACAAATACAATTAGCACTTTATCACCTACAAAACAGACACGTGAACGTTACATTTCTCTGGGTACCATCACATACAGGTATCGCAGGAAATGAAAAAGTAGATGAATTAGCAAAGAAAGCTGCTACTGACGAGCAAACTGAAATTATGACTACAATTCCATTCAGTGATATCCAGCTCAATATTAAACAGTACTGTGTAAAAAATTGGCAACAAATGTGGAATTCTACTAAGGCTACCCTTAAAAACGTGAAAACTAGGATTGGCACTAAACTACAATTTCAGAAAACAGAAGGCAACAAGTGATTATAAACCGACTAAGAATTGGACACACAGCGTTAACTCACCAGCATCTCATAACAAAAGAACTACCACCTGAATGTTCCTATTGTGAATGTCCAATAACTGTTCAACATGTATTGATTGAATGTCCTCTTTATTCCTACGAAAGAGCCATCAACAACGTACCAGAAGAAGCAAAGAAATTTAAAGATATTTTAAACAGTAATGTATCTAATACAATCAAATTCCTTAAGGACATACGTTTACTACACAAAATTTAAGTTATATTATATGTATCTCTTTGTAATTTGTAATTTATTATGTGTAATTTAATACGCAATTTGTAATTAGTAAATTTGTATTTGTAATAACAACTGTAAAATCTGTAAAACCCGCTAATAACCTTTAATGGTTGATGCGGAAATTCTAAATAAAAAAAAAATATTCTTTCTAACAGTATTAATTTGTATGACAGTTCTTCTTTACGGTATTTATATTTTTGAATTGATTTCTTATAAATATTGTCCTGTGTTTTAAAGCCCCTAATCTATTAATTTTAAAGAGTAAGATTTGTTTACCAAAATAATATTTAATTTAAATGTGCCGTGGCCTATAATAATTTGAAGATATCTTTTGTTAATAATAACGTAACGCCAAATAAATCATTTATTTAACAAAAGTAATTTATTCCCATTGATATCTTATCATTACTTTTAAACGTACTAATAAGTTATAAGATTTTACCTGAGTTTAAAATATCGGATTATTTCTAAGCCCTGATCGTGAATATCTCTTTCAACGCTCTAATTTATGGAAAGCAAACAGTTCGGTTCTGGAGCCCTCTAACGAAATGTAGTAAAGCTATAATTAAGCACCGCCAAATGACTAACATCTAATTAGAGACTGCCCAACTTTAAATCGGAGAAAACTATCCAATACAGGGAAGTTTCAAAGGAATAGTAGAGATAATTGTCTATATAAACTCTGTAATTATTTTAAGCACTTCAATCATAGTATATTGAAGTAAAACCCATTTATGGAGCATATTTTTAAACTCTCTTAACCATAGAACTACAAGGTGAAATTGGTGGAACGATTTTCACAATTTTAAAGTGGGGTCACCGGCGACCCGAAAATATTTTTCAAAATAAAAGACATTTAAATGTTTTTAAAGTTATTTGTCAAAAAATTTATTAACTGATTTGATTTCTAATCAGAAAATGTATTGTTAGATAACAATAAGCAAAACTAATATACAGAGTGAGTTAAAATATAAAACCACTTATATTTATAAAGTTTGAACATTTCCGTTAAAACGGGGAGCCATTCTCTCCCCTGTTGCCGACAATAATGTAGTTTTGCCATCTTAAATAATTTTAAACTGTTTGTCCTTTTTTAGTGTAGTGTTATGTACAAGTTTATGTTTATGACGTTCTGTAATTGTTGGATAGACCAAAATTGATGATAGACCCCTGAAGATGCTCTAGGAAGCGAAAGTACTTGGGCAAGATTTAATTAATAAAACTGTGCTCGATATCTGAGTGAAGATAAGATGTGAAGAAAAGAAGAAAGCCTTTTTACAATACAGAACACAACAAATACAACAGACATACAACCACTATAAACGAATCAGAAATAAAACGAATACTTTAGTTAGACAAAAACAAGGTGCACTGTCAGAGTTTCTTAAAACAGATGGAACACGACTTCTACGGAACACAAAAATTAATATGGAAAATGATCATCAGAGCACAAAGAAAAGATATAAACAAACTAATAAAAACGAAACACATTCAGAAGGAAACATGGGTAGACTACTTTTGATCCCTATTTTCTAAAGGTGACGATAAGGAACCACCAACACCAGAGGTGACGACAAACAAAGAAATAAATATTGAGGAGGAAGAGATAAGGAAAGCATTAAGGAAATTAAAAAATAGATCATGAATGTGTTGCTTGTGTGAGTCCATTTCAAATAGGCAAAGAAATAATAAATAAGAGTTACTCACAATCAATTTAATTTAACTATCCAGACGACCGGTTTCGCTTTCTACAATATGGAAAGCATCTTCAGGTCTCGATACAAAGTTAAATAAATGCTGAAGTAATAATCAACCCATATTAGGGTGCTGTCTAATAAAGATAAACAAAGTAGATGTTATAAATTACAGTTATTATGCCAATATTACATGTCTGTGGTTTTCCAGGAGTAGAGGGAAGAAAAGACTTGGGAAGAAAGAAAAAATCTTGGCTGAGCAATATCAGAGATTGGACTAACCTTAGTGTTGAACAGATATTTCACGTTGTAAAAGATCGAGAAGCGTTTAAAGAAGTGATCGCCAACCTTCGTTAAAAGACGGCGCAAGGAGAAGAAGAAGAAGGATTTCCAAATGAATAAAAACAAATAGAAATAAATTGTTTTAAGTAAAAAAAACACAACACTAAAATTAACAAGCAGTCATGTCTATTTAAAAAGAAAAAGAAGAACAAGAAGAAGAAGAAAAAGAAGACGATTATTTGTCATATATTTAATATTATTGTTCCTGTACCAATGGTCAAAGTTGTTGAGGTATTTAATGTAAATAAAAAATTTTTTTAATTATAAACATAATTAAAAAATAATTATTAAATGATTAAAACTATTTAACACGTTTTTGAGATTTATATTTGATTTTATAAATTTTTCATCTGCATTGAATACTCAAATTATGAATTTTATCTTATATTATACCCCCTCTGTGGCTCAGTGGTAAGAGCGCCTGCCTTTAAACCTAAAGGTCGTGAGTTCGAATCCCACCTGGGTGGAAATTTTCGTTTATTAAAAAAATTAATAAATGAAAATACTTTCTATCCTTGTGCGATCGGTACACACCGGAGGGACCGCAGACGTTCGGATACAATTAGCGTCTCTTAGCAAAGACAATGACGTCGACTTTGCTAAGTATCAAGACAATTACTCTACACACACACACACACTACACCTCAAATTGTAAGATTGGCGAATGGATTTAGTGTCCGCAGTCATTTAAACACAAACAAACAACAACATATCTTATATTATATTACTAGTTTTTAAATAAATAAGTCACTTTTAAGTATAAATTAGCACAATTTTGAGTATATTTCAAATTCTTCACATTCAAAATAAAGGCCTTAGGCCTATCTTTATTAGTCTTTATGGAAATTAATAAATTAAAAATAGATCGCTTGATAAAAGCACTCTGACGAAACAGCTGTACTAATAATAATTAAAAATAAATTTGTAGAGGTGTTGAAAACCAAAATTTCAGTGTTTTATTGTTATATAAAATGAATTTGAATCAAGTAACGGTCGAATATATCACTTAATAATAATATATTCTATATCTAAGTATATATATTTTTATATAAATTTTTGGTAATTTCATTCCGCCCCCTGTACAACTTTCTTTTTAAAAAGTGGCATGCTAGTCTCGAGCGCGTATATAAATCCTTGCAGAAGAGTAAAGGACTTCGGGAGAATCATTTCATGAAACAAAAGTGACAATTATAATTCTCAAGAGATAACAGGAATAAAAACGGCTACAAAAAATGTATTAATATGTTGTTCCAATAAATTTTAATAGATGTATATAACAAAAAATACAATTTTGAGTCCGTCATTCGAGAGAAACTATAAAATTTGGTCCACTATGTAATGTAGCATTGATGTGTATGTAGCGGTACTGAAGTAAAAAGAGGATGAGAGGCGGGCAGGCGGCAGCGGGCGATAGCTATCGATCGCGCCGGCGCCGGCGCTCTAATGCGCCGCCGTCGGTGCTGTCAGTGTCGAGTGAGAAACGGCCGGTGCCACAGCTTCGGCCCGGGCGGGGAGGACGACGACGACTCTGACCATCATCACACCGCATTTACCTCTTCGAGTAAAGATGGCGGCCCAAAGATTCGTAGTTTCAAGTGTTAGAGTTTCGGTAACGCGACAAGTGTCTTAGAGTGAGTGATGTGAGATGTCTAGGAGGCCCTCCTGCACCTCCTCCACCACCTCGTTCTTCTATGCCGCCGGCAAGCATGCAGCATGAGCGAGGATTGTGGGGGGCCCGCTTGGAGTTTGGAGCAGCCTTCTTGTAGCCGGGAGCCTCGGAGGCACACCGTCGTCGATCCCGGGGGCACTCGGAGCCGCGAGGGGGGGCACTCCGGCCGCCCGCAGCGATGCTCCCGGTTCCCGTAGCTGCTGACGCCGTCGCCGCCACCGCACCCTGCCCCGCAGAATGCCCCGGGCCCCTCGATCGGGCCGCCTGTCATCGCTGCTCCTGATGGCCGGCCTGGCGTTCGCCGCCACTTTTACCTCCGTCACCAGCTCATCGTCACCGCTCTCCAAACACGACGACGACGCCTCCTCCGTTGTCGTTGACGGTGTTGACGTTATTCGCGTTGGCGCTCCTCCAACGTGGCCACTCTCATCATCTTCTAATTCTAATTATTGCAGCAGTTCAGCCGTCGACGACACGACTGTGTGTCCGCCGCCCTGTCAGACCTCAGACAGATCTAAACAGTGCCTTCATTATTTGCAAGATTCGCACAAAGAGGAAGTCTGCGGAGGAGACGTGCCGCCCCAGCGCAGGCGTGACGTGCTGCACCGACTCCGGATGCCCCACTGCTGTGAACACGCTGTCGACAAGGCGCTCCCCGAGGCCGCTTTCCACGGGGACTCCAACACCTGCCATCGACTTCTTACAACACTCATTGAGCTCGATAACTTTGCCAGGATTCTATCCTGCAATCACGCTGACCTGCTCACTCGCTATGATTGTTCACAGAATTATTCCATCGTTCACAACTGCAAAGACTGCAAGGTAAAAAATCATAAATAAACAATTTATCTTGCTATTAATTACTGTAAAATCCAATTTTCAAAACAATTAAATGTTTCACTTTAAACTGCTCTCAGATTACTTTAGATGGATATAGGCACGTAATTTAAAAAAGAAGGAAAAGGAGTTTAATCAGAATGAAACACTTTTTTATAATGTATCTTCCTAATTTTCGGCAGGTTTTTATTATATAATATAAAACAATCTATGATATTAAAGATTAAACGGCTGATTTGTATTTTTTATGAAAACATGAGATAACTTCAAAGTTAGAAGCAAATAACTAAAGATCAACAATATTCATTAAATCTAACAATTAAATGTAAAAAGATAAATGCGGACGTATTATGTTAAATTAAAACAGTTTTTTGGTTAAAACAGTTCAGGATTTATTATATGGCATACTGCAAATACAATTATTAGTTATTTAGATTTAAGAATAGAGAAAATTAATTAGTAAATTTAAATAAGTAATACACTTTGCCTTCTAAAATCCTACCTAACACATTAACATATTATCTAAATTCATATTTGTATCTGTTTACTGTGCCACATTTCTAATTTTTCCTTGTTGTATATTCTATCTTGCTCCTCCGTTAAATACTCATTATAATACCAACAAATTTCCAAATTATCCTTTAACAAACGTATCTACCATTCCAAAGAGCATTATTCTCTCTCAAATTTCCGTTTCCAAGCAAATCACACAACATTGTTATGAGAACAATCTAAATACACTCGACAACAGTTGTATAGGTACCTAATCATTTATGTCCTTTGCACAGTACAAACAAGGAAGGGAGATTTGCTTTAGACGGTGTTCTCTTATGGAATTCACGAAACAAAAGTTTCTGTCTTCAAAATCGGAGTTTATTTTTTCTTTTTTTTATTTTATTCGATGAAATCAAACTATTTCTTTAAAACATATTATGTTTCTAATAATAATTACATATATGGACAAGAGAGAATTGTTCAAATGTCTCAATACGAATTATTTGTTAATTAATCAATGAATCAACAGACATCTTATTATCTTTAAAGTAAATTAGTAGTTTTATCTTAATATATTCGTGCTCTTTCCCCAATTCTAGCCTTTTTATTTGCTTTACTGCGCTGATCTTTTAGAGTTTATCTGTGCCATAACGCATTTTCAAGTTTTGAGCATGCGCGTGTAACAAAACGTAAAAACTGAAATCTGGGATATATAGGACATCCAATTTGAATGGAAAATAAAATAACCATTTGTTGTATTGAAAATCTGTTTATTTTATTTATATTATATTCATTGCTTTATTGATAACAATTGGAATATTGATTATTATCCGCTTTTAAAAAACCTTTTATGAATTTAAAGTAATATAAATATTTTAGAACTGAACACTTTTTGTAAAGTTTTGAATAAATCGATACATTGAAATGTATATGAATGTTATTAAAACGCTATTTTGTGATGTTAAAAAAGGGACTTCTTCTTAACGTGCCCTATCAAGTCCCCTTGACGTTGGCGATTAACATGGCGAAACTGTCTCTGTCTCGAGCTATTCTAAATAGTTGCTCAGCTTTCTTTATTCCTGTCCACTCCCTGATATTCTTCAACTAAGAGGCCTGCTTTCTACCAATTCCTCTGCGTCCTTCGATTTTACCCATCATAATAAGTTGAAGAATATTATATCGGTCTCCTCTTACTACGTGTCCAAAATAGGCCACCTTTCTACATTTGATGTTATCAAGCAGCTCGCGAGCAGCATTTGCTCTTTCAAGGACTGCCACATTTGTCAGCATAGCCATCCATGGAATTTTTAGTATACGTCTGTGCAGCCACATCTCAAAGGCCTCCAGACGATTAATCGTGGATATTTTTAATGTCCATGCTTCGACACCGTATAAAAGGACTGACCAAATGTAGCATTTAACCATGCGCTTTCGAATTTGAAGTTGCAAGATATCATTACAGATATTTTTAAAAATGTCTATGGGCTATCTCGATTCTACATTTTATCTCTTGATCTGGATCTAGTTGTTCAGTAATATGGCAACCAAGATATTTAAAACTGGACACTCTTTGAATTATATGACCATCAACATATAATCGTGCATCTTGATGTGCTAAACGGCTAAACACCATGTGTTTTGTTTTTGAACAGTTTATGTTTAGGCCCAACTCTCTTCCCACTTTATCAATGGCATTTAAAAGGCATTGTAATCCATTCATGTCATCACTTAAAATAACTGTATCGTCTGCATATCTGATTGTATTTATCAGAATTCCATTAACTTTCACGCCCCATTCCAAATTATGCAGCGCTTCTTTAAATATTCTATCTAAATATAAAGTAAATACCAGTGGGGATAGTATACAACCCTGTCTGACACCTCTCTGTATTTTACATATTTCTGTTGATTTTCCGTTTATGCAAGCTGTCGCTGTTTAACGCCAGTATAACTTTTCTATGAATCGTATGTCTTGACTATCAACTCTTTATCTTTTAATATTCTAATTAATTTGTGATGCTATACTCGATTAAAGGCCTTTTCATAGTCAATAAATACAGCAAACACGTCTTTCCTTTGATCTCGACATTTCTGCAGTAATACATTTAGTGCAAAGAGGGCGTCCCGAGTTCCCAGTCCATTTCTGAAGCCAAATTGTGTTTTATCCTGATCTTCTTCACATTTATCTCTGATTCTACTGTGGATGATGCGTAGAAATATTTTCAAAGTGGGGCTCATAAGGCTTATCATTCTATAATCGCTACAGTTTTTCGGAAGTTGTTTTGTGGTAGTGTTATGAATTCGGACTTTAACCAATCTTCAGGGATATCACCAGTCGAATAAACATCATTGAAAAGTTTGACCAGTATTTCAATGTTCTCCTCATTTATAAGCTTTAACACCTCTGTCGGTATTTTATCAGGGCCAACGGCTTTCTTGTTCTTTGCTAACTTTATAGCATGCAGTATTTCTGATTTTAGTGTTTCTGGTCCTTCGCCTTCAACTAAAGCCTCCGGTTCTTCGGGTCTATCATCATTATATAGTTCAGTTATATAATTACACCAGGTTGTTCGAATTTCATGTTCGTCTATTATCATTTTTCCCGACAAATCGGTTATAGTATGTGGAGTTTTCTTATGATAAAGACCAGCTACTTCTCTAACTTTAAAAAAAAAAAAAGGACTATTTATACGAAATTAACCAATGGCTTTAAAATAATGTTATTGAAAAACTCATACCTACATTAGATACACCTTTACATAAGTTATTAGTGCAACAGACAACTTTTGTCAGTGAAATTAGATACAAACACCGACACAAAAGGATCAAGTAAATCGCACCCATTTTAAATATTTTCAACATCCCTTCTATTTAAAATAAGTCAAACTCTGATGTTAAGCACAAAGTCTAATTTTATATATACTTCTTCTTTAAGTGCCGTCTCCCAATAAGAGGTTGGATATCATCATCACTATCTTTACTTTATCTACTGCTGCTCTGAAGAGTTCTTTAGAACTGCATTTAAACCAGTCCCTTAAATTCTTAACCATGACACTCTCCTTCTTCCTATACTCCTTCCTCCTCTTATATTTCTTTGTATTATCAGCCTTAGCAGTTCATATCGCTGTAAACTCATTACGTGTCACCGATATTGTGACTTTCTTATTTTTATTGTGTTTATTATTTCCCATTCTTTGCCCATTTCTCGCAATACTTCCATGTTAGTTTTATTCTGTGTCCTTGCTATTCTAAGCATCCTCCTATAACAACACATTTTAAAGGACTGTAACTTATTTATGTGTTCTCACTTCAATGTCCAGCTTTTAAGTCCATTTTGCAGTATCTAAAACACGTAGCATCTCAGTGCTCTTACTCTCAGTTCTAATATAAGATCTTTGTTGCAGATAATTGTTTTCATTTTTACAAACGCATTTCTTGCTATTTCTATCCTAGCTCTTATTTCGATTTTTGATCATTATTTATTATCATATATCAGTATTTGTATTTATCAACCCTTTCTATCGGTACATTTCGCAAATGTATGTTTGTTTGTATATTTGTTTTCTTTGTTATTATTATGTATCAGAACTACCAGAACTACTAGAAGCAGGCCTGAAGATTGCTAATAAACAAAAGCGAAAACAACAAAAAATTAGCGCTAAATCACAAGATATGCTACGACGACGACAACTACTGAATGATAACAAAAGAAATACAGTGGAGTTTACCTAACTGAACAAAACCATAAGAAAACAGATGAAGGAAGATTTAAAGAAATACCAAGAAGACCGCATTAAGAAAATCATAGAGAAGAACAAAAGTTTAAAAACAATGAAGACAAATATAGGAAAAAGAAAACTAATCATGCTTAAAGCTGAGAAAAATGAAGAAAGAGATTTAGGAGAAATAGTAAAAATCACAGAAACATATTACACAGAACTATACAGTTCTAAAAATGACCCACCACTATCATCTAAACAGAATCTCTCGAGGAAAATATAAAATGTTGGCTCAGAGGTATTACCAGAAATAACTGAAGATGAAATGAAAAGAAATAAAGCGGCCGGTGAGGACAAAATACTGGCGGAACTGCTAAAAGAAGGCGGAGACACGATAAAAAAAATGCTAAAAATACTGTTCAACAAATGTCTGTTTGAAGGTAAAATACCTAAACAATGGAGAAATGCCAACACAATCTTAATACATAAGAAAGGAGACCGATCAGACCTAAACAACTACCGTTCTATTTCCCTTTTGTCACAACTATATAAAACCTTCACAAGAATAATAAACAACCGATTAACCTATAAACTTGATAACTACCAACCAGTGGAACAGGCCGGATTCAGGAAAGGATACAGTACAATCGACCATCTACATGCGCTTAAAATCTTAATTGAGAAAACCAATGAATACAACCTTCCGCTGTACTTAGCATTCGTAGATTATGAAAAGGCTTTCGACAGCATTGAACACTGGGCGGTTGAAGA